CCTTCGGTGGCGGGGCGGGCGGCCCGTGGCCTCCGCTGGCCGGGCGGTGGGTTAGCCTTAGGGCAGAGGGAGCGGTGCGGTTCCCCCGCGGTCCTTCATTTCAGCTGTTTCTGGGGTTAAAGCCGTGTGGGTGCCGCTCGGCTCTGGGCTGCGGGTTGCCCCATGGCTACTGGCTAAGGGAGAGCTGAACTCCACCCGAGGCTCAGCCGCCGTCACCTTCTCTCTCCAGGGACGCTCCAAATCAGAAGCAACTCCTGAAAATCTGTGGCGGTGGCCACCCTCCCGTTCCCTCCACGGGGATCCAGCCTCGCAGGGCCGCTCCAGAGGGCCCGGTGCGGAGGAGGCTCCCGTGGCTGCTGGTCCCGAAGGAGAGGTCGGTTTGGGCCAGGAAAGGATTCCGGGCCAGTAATGGGAACCCCGGCCTGAGCCCTGCAAGGGGATCCCCAAGATTCCTATCGCCCAGCTGAGGCCAAGGAGGAACAAACCTAGAGCTGATCCACCTCCATCCCACGGGAGCGCTCCTGGGAGGGTAATTATTTCTTGTTCCCCTTGTTTTATTGGAGCAAGTTTTGTAGGAGAGTGAAAGAAGGTGGCAGAGGTGGCTGTGAAGTGGTGGATACTTGGTGCGTCCCACAAAGGGGGACTCCCAGTCTTTGAGCTGGAGCCACCTGCACCCACCCCTGTCACCTCAACGCCCTCTCCCCTTGTCCTCTGTCAAAGCTGGACCGGTTGTTCGCACACGTCTGAGTTGGTGTTGGTTGTTGCTGGGAGTTATTGCTTATGGTCCTGGTTTAAAGGGTTGTGGTGGAGTTTGGCCGTGTAAACGTGACCCCATGCGTGGCTGGAAGGGGCTGGTTCCCAGCTCTGGAAGCAGTCGCATGAGAAATTTATTAAGATTAATTTTAAAAGTAGGTTTCACTGTGTCTGCTGCTTCCCCTGGGAAGGTGTTCCAGAATCACAGCTTAGTGCTGGAAAGAAACCTGATCCTTATTTCCAGCCAAACCGTGCTAACGTTCCCCTTGTCCATGTCGGGAAACACGGGGTGTGTGTCACAACGGAGAGTTGGTGGGTTCTTTTTGCGTCGCTTACGTCACCTTCCGTTGAGCTAAAAAAGTAAAACCGGCTTGAAAGGAAAATAAATGCCTCCAAGTGCAAAATGTAGCTAAGGAGGCTGGACGCTGGCGGTTTGAGTGGCATTCTTTGTCTCGCTGTTTGCGGGAGTCATTAGTGGCGCTGCGATGGCTCTTCTTGTTACCGTTGGAGAGCAGATCGCTGGGCTCTAACCTGCCTGTCCTCACCGGGAGTTTCGGGAGCCTCGTGGTGTGAGGAGGGGGCTCTGGGGGCTCCTGTTGGCGTTTGCTCTTCCTGGCAGCTGAGCTCTGGGTGGCTCCAGCCCCCAGGACTTGCTAACGAGCCCCGGGGTACCCCGTGCTGGAGGGACTCGCATCGCGCCGTCGTGCACGTGCAGGAACCGGCCTCCCTCGGGATCCTTTGTGCTCCTTCCTGATCAGCTGCAGCCGGCGAGGAGCGAGTGCTGGGGCTCCTCACAGCTGTCTCCTCTTGATTCCTGTTTGCAGCTCGGCGCCTCGGCGGGGAGAGGATGGCTCAGGAGACGAACCAGACCCAGGTGCCCCTGCTCTGTACCACGGGCTGTGGGTTTTACGGCAGCCCCCGCACCAACGGGATGTGCTCCGTCTGCTATAAGGAGTTCCTGCAGAGGCAGCAGAGCAGTGACCGGATAAGCCCCCCAGGTAGAGGATTTTTGTCCGTGAAATCTCTCTTAAATGGGTGCCTGGATGCAAACTGTGTTGGGCAACTGGGAATAAGAGCCATGGTACTGGTAGTTTTACTCCCTCCTGGAAAACTTATGTCTTCCCCTTTCTGTGTAGACCTGAGCCTCTAAATCGGAGACCCCTGAGCCTTTGAACCTTTCTGTTCCCTGTAAGGGGTCGGTTTTCTTCCCATTCCCAGCTGTTTGGGAAGCCCCATCCCAGTCAGCACCTTCCAGGAAACTCTGAAACTTCACTTGGTGCTAACGGTGGCCCAGATCTTTAGCAATGACCTGTTCCCCGGGTGAGGTGCTGACTGCTGGGAACCACACAACATCCCTGAAATGAAACTTTATTTGGGAAGAATTTGGCCTTTTGGGTTTGCTGAGTTGTTTTGTTTTGTTGTTGTGTTTTTTTTAATCTTAGCAGAGTTGACAATTAAAAGCCATGAAATAAAAGGTTTGTTTCTAGCAGCTGAACAGAGCTGACAGGGCACCGAGCTGGGAGGCAGCACAGAAAGGATGCTCTTATCCAGGTCTGGGCTCCTCAGTTCCAGAAGGACAGGGAACTGCTGGAGAGGGGACAGCAGAGGCTACAAAGATGATGAGGGGCCTGGAGCATCTCTCTCATGAGGAGAGGCTGAGGGACTTGAGGCTTTTTAGTCTGGAGAAGAGAAGGCTGAGGGGGGATCTGATCAACACCTGTAAATACTTCAAGGGTGGGTGTCAGGAGGATGGGGCTGGTCTTTTCTCAGTGGTGCCCAGGGACAGGACAAGAGGGAATGGGCACAAACTGGAACATGGGAAGTTCCATCTCAACATGAGGAGGAACTTCTTTCCTGTGAGGGTGGCAGAGCCCTGGCAGAGGCTGCCCAGGGAGGTGGTGGAGTCTCCTTCTCTGGAGACATTCAAACCCACCTGGACACGTTCCTGTGGGACCTGCTCTGGGTGGCCCTGCTCTGGCAGGGGGTTGAAGATGATCTCCAGAGGTCCCTTCCAACCCCATAGCGTTTTGTGATTCTATCATTAACAGGATTTTATTGTGTTGGAAGTTTGTGCAGATGCCACTTTGTGACACCTAGAGATCTTCCACAGCTTTGTTCACGAGTGTAACAATGGCTTTCCTTGAGGTACCCGCCCAAAATATATATTGGGACCATGGCTCAGCCTGACAAAGGGGGTTTCTAAAGGCCTTGATTGAGATTCTTGGCTGACATAAACCAAGATGTTTGTATGGAAGCAGATGAGGATCTGGTTCTTAGACCTTGGAGAAGCTGCAAAGTAACAGGTTCAAGGTGTGTTGGGAACCTCAGGGTTCTCATTTATACCACGAGGAGAATATTTGCGCTGATACGGAGTTTGCTTTGCGATGCTGAGGAAAAGAAGGGGAATCAAAGAGTGATGGAGGTCTCAGGGGTGACTGGAGGCAGATTTTACCAGATGTTGAAAAACCCCTCAGGAATGGAAGGGATTCAGCACGGTAACTCCTGCGGATAAACCCTCATTCCCCAAAAAGGCAGCTGGCAGATCCTCAGAGCTGAACAGGTCTCCATAAATGAGGCCTGCAGCTCTCAGGAGGACGAGCAGGGGTGTTGTCCTGGTACAAGGAGTCATTCCTGGCTGTACTGGGTCACGGCAAGGCCCACCCAGCCCTGATGTCCCCACAGAGACCTACACACAAATTCAGAGGGGGGAGTATGAGAATAGGGGATCTAGGAGTGATCCCAGCTAAAGTGTGGCCTCCCAGCTGCTGGTAGGGAGCTGAAAGTGCTCATCCTGCTTTCTCCTTGGCTGTCAAGCACCCAAAAAACTTGCTGACATTTTAAAGTGTCTTCCAAGACTGTGGTTTTGTTTTGTAGCCCCCAGCGGTCCCAACAGCAGCCCCATGGCTTCGGATGCAATTGCAGGGCAGCGTGCGGAGGGAGACTCCACGCCTGAGGATGTGAAAGCCAGGTAGGGACAGGGTCTGTGGGGCTGGGGGTCTGCAGCTGTGCTAAAATCCAGCCCTGGGACACAAGGGGCAGCTCTCATCCCCTATGGCCATGGGGGTCTGTAAAGAGGGGTGGGTCGTTGTGACCCTGGTTTATCTGGAAGACTGAGCTGGCCGTGGGGGTCTGTAAAGAGGGGTGGGTCAAACGCTGCTCGTTGTGACCCTGGTTTATCTGGAAGACTGAGATGTCCCCAGCGATGGTGACTGATGCATAGAGTCAGGTATCAGAGGGTCAGGAGTAAATTAAAACCTGTGGTAAACTAATTGGCATCCTGATTGTCTTGGAGCCAGTGTACCACATCTGTCATGAGCTGCCTCAACTCAGTCCTCAGTGAAGGCACCACCTGGTGATGATCCAGCCTGGGAGCTGTGACAGCAGGAGTGGGGACCTTGGTCACATTTGATGGGAAGGAAGGTAGTACTGCATTGAGTTCCACCATGGTGTTACAGTCCTGACTCACAACTCTCATTTCCCTGTCCTGTTTGGATGGGCTGTTGCCTTGGCTTTGGATTTATTTGGGTGGAAAAGGAAACAGAGATCATCACACATTCATTCCACCTGTGTCTATGAAGAACTTTGATCCCAAATCTCAAGGGGAATTGCCCTGCTCTGCTCCTGAGCTACCTCTGAGTGTAATGAAATTAACTTTATGGGCTGAAGATCTCTCCCACGTAACTGTTCATCAAAAGAAAATATTTGTGTTTAATCTCTGCTTGGTTGGTTTGTTTGTTGCAAATACTCCCAGTGCTCAGACTCCTGTGACCCATCAGATGACGGCCATGAGCATATCCAGAGATGAAAACAGCAGCGAGACAGAAGAAATCATCAAGACAGAAGAAGCCTCAGCAGCATCTTCCTCATCAGGTAGATGGTTCGGGCTTTGCAGGAGTGGGAGTGACACCGACCTCGCGAGTCGGTTTGAGCAGCAAGTACAATCCTGGCCTCTGACTCCAGGAGACGGTTGTTACCTCCGGGCAGTAAAGGTACATGGAGCAGGAGAGCTGAGGAGAAAAGGGTTTGTCTCCTTCTGAAACAGGGAGGAGAGAGAAAATGCTGTGCCTGAGGGCAGGCCGATAGAGATTGCTCTGTGGGCTGAGGGCTGAGTAGCTGCCAGCCCTCAACTCGCTGGCAGGAGGAGAATCTTCCATGACGCCTCTCCCGGCGGATGGCAGAGAGCCCGGAGCGTCCCACAGCCTGCTGCACGGCTCTCCTTGGCTGCGTTTCCCTGCCATCTCTGGAGGGAGGGAAGGAGACGGAGCCAGCGTGGTCTTGGGAGAGAGGAGACGTGTTTGTGACGGTGCCCAGGGGCAGCTGCTGCCCGGGTTGTTGTCATCCTGCCTGGTGGGAGGCAAACCTGCCCCTCAGAGGGGAACATTTTAAGGCGGCCTCTTTGTTTGCAGAGTGGGGACCTGGAGGTGATAGAGGAGCTCGGGTGTCGTTGCCCAGGGGGGTGCATCCTCCCGTTGATGAGTTAGAGGGTGAGCTGTTATGTTGCAGCTGTAACCAAGTGACACTGCGTTGGAGACACCCTCCTTTAGCTCAACTGACAGTTCGCTTGTGTTCAAAGCTAAAAAAAAAAGAACAAAACCCAAGAGGTGTTGGTTGCTAAAAAAAAACCCAGGCTCTAGTCACCGCACATGACTGTGCATTTTGGATTTGGTAATCCCTGGCCTGCAAGCCCAAGGAGACAATTCACAACAGGCAGGTGAGAGACTGGTGGAAAAGAGGCGTAGAAGAGCCTACCCCTTTCTTCTGATCGTGGGGTTTTTAGAAAGTCATTTAGGGTGAGCTCCACAAAGCTGTCTCTGCCTCTGTCTCCTCTCTGACAGTCCTCCTCTGACTCTGACTCTCTCCTTAGCCTGATTTTCAGAGTGGTGTGCGCTGCAGGTGTGTATCTGCTCGCGGTTGGAGCTCCTCCCTCCTGTTGGCTTCTCTAGCCTGCTTAGGTACCGTAGGAAATCCCGCTAAGCATCAGTGACCTTTAACAATCTGGCTTTCAGAGCTCAGTTTTCCTTCTGGTAGATTAGAGGCAGCGATGAGTATGTCTGTAAAGCATTCTGAGACCTACATACGAGGAACACTTACATAAGAGTCAGCAAAAATAATTAGTAGTACTTACAAGGGGTTAACTTTATTTTTTCCCCGGTGAAGATTAACTCCCGGCTCAGCTGTGCAGCTGAGTTACTGTACATCAGCTAAGCTGTAGTGACTATCCAGACGCATGCGTAACCTATGCCAAGCACCAGGTAATTCTACATATTATTACCTTTTCTCAGCAGAAACTAAACAGCATCATGTTGCCTTATGTATGCCCTAACGAAACCGTAACGTCTCCTTGGTGTTTCTGAGCCAGCATCATGTTGCCTTATGTACACCCTAACGAAACCGTAACGTCTCCTTGGTGTTTCTGAGCCTTGGACTTATGGACTTTGAAAGAGAAAACACGAGGCTACGTGGAATGAGGCAAATGTCAGAGTTTGGGGGATGTCGGTCAGGGCAAGGTGCACGCAGAGGTGTCTGGCACAGACCCAGAATCCTAGGGCCTCAAGCAGCTCCTGCAAGAAAAAGAATGCGTTGCTGGGTTTATCAAGAAGGGAAGAAAAACTCTTTCCTCTGTTTCAGGTACCCTGCTCGAAATATCTCCAAACACAGCTGAGGGCAAGGCAGCTTCGGAAAAACCCAAACAGAAGAAGAATCGCTGCTTCACTTGCCGGAAGAAGATCGGGCTGACTGGTAAGAGCCTGGCTGTGGGGAAGGCTTGCCTGTGGCCTGCATAGTCTGGTTTTGTAGCCACCTGGGCACATCTCCTTGTGCTGTGACACTGCCTGGGTTCAGAGGGTCGCTGTGGGTCAGTGGTTGGAGGAGCCCTCCGAAAAGTCTCTTTACGTCCCCGAGATGTGGTGCTGCAGGGGAGGAGGGAGGGGAGCTGTGACCTGCCAACAGCCCTGTCCCAGGCAGGGAATCTGCCACTCACTGTCACGGTCCCTGCCAGCCCGTGGATGTGGGATTACGGAGCTGGAGGGAGCAGTGCCTCTCGGGTTATTTCTGCCCACTTGGCAAAAGCTGCTTGTAGAAGCAAAGGCAGTGCTCGCTGTGGGTCTAATTCTGCTCCTGTTCAAGTCAGTGGTAAAGCTTTCGTAATAGTGACACAAACTGAGTTAGACCCAAACAGAAAATCCCACTCCGAGACTCATCCCATTTGTTAACGGTGCTTGGCTCCTGCCGTGAGCTTCCCGAGAGCAGGATGGTGCTGAGAGAGAGAGAGGTGCTGAGGTGGTATCCATGGGAAAACTGCCCCTGGAAAGCGAAGCCATTAACTTGGCTGTGGTTTGTTCCTAAAAACATCGCTCCCCTAAATTCACTCTGGCGTTTAGTGTTTTCCTGGAAAAAGTTGACTCTAGAGCCGTGCGGGTCAGGCTGCTCTAGTGGAGCACTTGCCTCTTCAGCCTCCTCAGGGCCTTCAGCACCCAGGGATGGCACAAATGCTTCTGTGATGGTTTGTGTAAGCTGCTTTGGCAGAGTCCGACCCAGGAGGTTTGCCCAGCACCTCCCAGGAAATTTGAGGGTGCTGTTGTAGAATAAACGTGGGTTTGTAAAGCTGGGAGTGGGCAGGGTGCTCTGTGCCCAGCCTGCAGCTCTGCAGGGGGGATTGTTTTCCTGGACAAGTGTTCCAAACTGTGAGACCTTTCCTTTCCTGTACGTGTGAGCTGATGCAGGCAGGACGCAGGAACAACCACAAAATCACAGATTAAAGGCTAAGAACGAATTTAATCTCAACAAATGGATCGGGGAATCTCCCCTGGGCAGAAGCAGGCAAGCCACATGGATCAGGGAATCTCCCCTGGGCAGAAGCAGGCAAGCAGGGGACACAGGCAAGAGAGCGAGAGTCCTTATTAGCAAGAGAGTCCTCGTTAGCAAGGGAGTGAGAGAGGGAGAGCTCACACTTGCTGTTCTGGCCTGTATTTCAAGGATTCAGGCAGGCAGAGTTTTCTGCTGTGCTTTGATCTCTTCAACAGCCAGGCAGGAATCTGGGGAACGTTCGATAAGGTGCCCCCGAGTCCATCCCAGGCCGACGTTATCTGAGTGCAGATGTTCTACTCATTGAGCACACAAAACTAAACAACAATTAGTGTGATATGTGTGTTTTCCAGCACCCCACGTGCGAGTCACTTGAGCGTGTTTACAGTCCTCCTCGCCAATCTTCCGGGGCTTTCCCACACTTTAGGAAGCAACTCGCAGAGAGCTCCTGTCAATTCGAGGCATTTAGGATAAAAAGAGTTTTCTCAAACGGGAGTAAACTGGCACCTTGTAGTGAGGTGTTTGCAGTATTTGCAGACCGGCAGTGCGTCGGGGAGCTGCTTTGCTGTCCTGCAGCAAACCAGAGTAAACTGGCACCTTGTAGCGAGGTGTTTGTGGTCTGTGCACACTGGCAGTGCGATGGGGAGCTGCTTTGCTGTCCTGCAGCAAACCCCCTCCCTGCTCTCTGCCTCAGTTCACAGAATCACAGAATTGTCAGAGTTGGAAGGGACCTCTAGAGCCCATCCAGTCCAACCCCCCGGCCAAAGCAGGGCTGCCCAGAGCACATCACTCAGGAGCATCCAGGCGGGGCTTGAAGATCTCCAGAGAAGGGGACTCCACACCCTCCCTGGGCAGCCTCTGCCAGGGCTCTGCCACCCTCACCCCAAAGAAGTTCTTCCTCAGATTTGAATGGAACTTCCCATGGTCCAGCTTGTGCCCGTTGCCCCTCGTCCTGTCATTGGGAACCACTGAAAAGAGCCTGGCTCCATCATCCTTCAACCCACCCTTCAGACACTTGTCAGCATGAACAAGGTCTCCCCTCAGCCTTCTCTTCTCCAGGCTCAAGAGCCCCAGCTCTCTCAGCCTTTCCTCATCAGGGAGATGCTCCAATCCCTCCATCATCTCTGTTGCCCTACGCTGGACTCTCTCCAGCGAGTCACTTGAGCGTGTTTACAGTCCTCCTCGCCAATCTTCCGGGGCTTTCCCACACTTTAGGAAGCAACTCGCAGAGAGCTCCTGTCAATTCGAGGCATTTAGGATAAAAAGAGTTTTCTCAAACGAGAGTAAACTGGCACCTTGTAGAGAGGGGTTTGTGGTCTGTGCACACTGGCAGTGCGATGGGGAGCTGCTTTGCTGTCCTGCAGCAAACCCCCTCCCTGCTCTCTGCCTCAGTTCACAGAATCACAGAATTGTCAGAGTTGGAAGGGACCTCTAGAGCCCATCCAGTCCAACCCCCCGGCCAAAGCAGGGCTGCCCAGAGCACATCACTCAGGAGCATCCAGGCGGGGCTTGAAGATCTCCAGAGAAGGGGACTCCACACCCTCCCTGGGCAGCCTCTGCCAGGGCTCTGCCACCCTCACCCCAAACAAGTTCTTCCTCAGATTGGAGTGGAACTTCTTATGTTCCAGCTTGTGCCCGTTGCCCCTCGTCCTGTCACTGGGAACCACTGAAAAGAGCCTGGATCCATCCTCCTTCAACCCACCCTTTAGACACTTGTCAGCATTGATAAGGTCTCCCCTCAGCCTTCTCTTCTCCAGGCTCAAGAGCCCCAGCTCTCTCAGCCTTTCCTCATCAGGGAGATGCTCCAATCCCTCCATCATCTCTGTTGCCCTACGCTGGACTCTCTCCAGTAGTTCCCTGTCTCTCTTGACCTGGGGAGCCCAGAACTGGACGCAGGATTCCAGTTGTGGCCTCCCCAGTGCAGAGCAGAGGGGGAGAATGACCTCCCTCCACCTCCTGGCCACACTCTTCCCTGTGCAGCCCAGGATTCCATGGACCCTCTTGGCCACAAGGGCACATTGCTGGCTCATGGATAGTTTACTCTCCACCAGGACCCCCAGATTCTTCTCCTCAGAACTGCTTTCCAGCAGGTCCACCCCTAACCTCTATTGGTGCCTGGGGTTCTTCCTCCCCAGGTGTGGGACCCTACACTTGCCCTTGTTGAACCTCATGAGGTTCTCCTCTGCCCAGCTCTCCAGCCTGTCCAGGTCACGCTGGATGGTGGCACAACCCTCTGGAGCTGTGCTAACGCTGGCACTCCTGAACAACATTGTCTCTTAGTGAAGTGCTAAATGCTGAATTTTGAAGCCTAAATAGCTCTGATATTACCCTAACGAGGTGAAGGTTTTGCTGCTTCCTGGTTGGTCCAGATGCTGGTGGGTGAGGCCTGGGGAGCCAGGCTGGCTGGGAGGGCTGAGCTCCAGCTCGGGCTGCCTTGCTGGCTGCCTGGGGAGCCGGATCTGGATTAGCAATCTGGCACTCTGCGGTCCCCGGCGTGTCCCTTGTCCCCGGGGAGCGCGGAGAGCAGCTGCTGTGGGAGTGTTTCCCACCGCCCTGACAGCTGGGGCTGCCCAGAGCACGCGTGTGCTCACGGGAGCAGATCAACCAGAGGAAACCCAAGAGCAACCCCTGGTCTTCCCCCCCACACCGAGACTCCCTTTCGCCCTTGGGGGACAGCGGCTCCCTCCCTCCTCTGCCCCTCTTTCTGCCTTAGTGGAGTTTCCTGGCCTGGCAGGAAGGAGTAGAGGCCCTGCTGCCTTCCTGTCCAGCTGGATGGGGACTGACGTGGCTTTGTTTCTGCTCTTCCTCCCTCCAGGCTTCGACTGTCGCTGCGGGAACCTGTTCTGTGCCATTCACCGGTACTCCGACATGCACGCCTGCCCCTACGACTACAAGGCAGAAGCCGCTGAGAAGATCCGTAAGGAGAACCCCATCGTTATCGCTGAGAAGATCCAGAAGTTGTGAAAGGGGCCTGAGCAGCTCGGACTGCAGCCATGTGGCCTGGTGCTCCTCCTCTTCCTCCCAGCCTTCCTCCTCTTCCTCCCAGCCCCATGGGTGGTGCAATGGGGATGCCAGCAGCACACGTGAACCAGCACCCGGACACAGAGACTCCTCGCACCTCTTTAGCAGACAGTTGCCGTTCCTCCTCTCCCTTTCTGCCTGTCTGACAGCCACAGCTCAGCCCAGCCCTTCCCGACCAGCTTCCCAAGGGAAAAGGGACTGTCCTGCCCCGCTGCTCCAGTGCTGAGACCTTTGGACTTGTCTGGGGTGGTTTGTGTGGCGCGGGCGGCCGGGCTCTGCCGGGGCAGCCTTTCCCTTCAGCCGGCAGCTCCGGGTCCTGCGAACCACCCGGGACTCGCAGCTGGAGCCCGTCAGCTGCCGCTGGACTTGGTTCCCTCTGCCCTTCCCTCTCTCCGTGGCGGATGTAAAACCGGAGCTGGGCAATCCCGGCAGCCAGGCTGCCCTCTTGCTCCCGAGAGGTGTTTGGTCTCGGAGGCAGAAAAGGGGATTCTGTAGTTTCAACGCCCTAAATACCCTTCCCCTCCCGTTAAGACGCTGTTGTTGAAGCACCAGGATGGTTTAAGCAGCAGATCACCCGCACAGTGAAGTTATTTTGTGGCTTGAAGCGATGCAGACGCGCTCCAGCCGCAGGTCAGGACCTTTAGGGAAGTACCTTTAGGGAAGTACCCCTCGCTGCCTCCTGCCTCTCCCCACGGGGAGGGAGCCGGGCTGCCGGGCTCGCTGGGGCTGGGACACCCTTACCTCAGCCTCCCTGTGCTTCACCGTCCCCTCCTGACTAACCGCTGGCCCCTTCCCAAGCAAGGTTTGTTGTAACACAGCGGCGCCTGCGCCTCTCCTCTCCCCTCCCTGCTCCCCAACTTCTGCCTTACACCATTCTTTCTCGTCAGGGTTGTGCACAAAGCTCAGATGGTCGAATCTTTGCTTCCTTTCCTGTCCCCCCACGTGCAGGCGGACGGCGGGGACCCTTCCTCCCTCCTTCCCTGGGCCTCGCTGATCCTTGGTGACAGCCTTTCCCCCCTTGGGAAGCCCCCCCAGCCACCCCGCTCTCCTGCCTCCCTGCTCATTCCTGTGGGAGGAGAGGCAGGGCCAGATCCAAAATGCTCCAAAAGCTGGACGGGGGGACCTGGGGCACAGGGAAAGGCATGTGGAGGGCTGCAGGGTGCGTGGAAAGTCACGAGGAGGGTCCCTGGGGTGCCTAGAAGCTTTCAGCAAAGCCCATGGAAAGCCCTGCAGAGCAGTGAGAGGTGTTTGGGAGGGCTCTGGGGCCTCCAAAAAACTCGTAGAGGTCTCAGGGCTGCTGGAAGACTCAGGGAGGGCTCTGGGGTGGAAGGGAAGGCGAAAGGAGAGCTTTGGGGTACACTGAAAGCACTCAGGTGCCCTAAAAGGCAGCCAGAGTGCTCTGGGGCAGGCGCGCACACACACGTGGAGGGTTTTGGGGTGCAGGGAAAGTCAAATGCCAGGCTCGGTAGCCCTCCAGGAAAAAACATGAGGGGTGTCTGGAGCTGTTAGAAAGGAAAGCATGGGGCTCGGGTACACAGCGTGAGGCAGGTGGAGGTTCCTGGGGTGCACCCAAAGCCACCTCTGCCATGCAGGGTCCGTGCCTGCCCCCACAGCGGGGTTCTCCTCTCTGGGAAGGCCAGGAGCGGGGCTGCAGCCACGGGGCTCTTGGCGGTCTCACAAACGGAGAAACCCGGACGGGTCCCGGGGGAAAAGCAGCAGCTTCTGCCCCACTTCTGGCCGTCCCACGCTTTGGAAGCGTTTCCCTCGGCATCGGCTCGTGTAAGGGCGTCGGGGAGCGGAGCTGCAGGGCCTGAAGCAGCCTGAATGGTGGCAGCTCCTTCCAAGTGCGCGTTTGCTCCCCCATTTATGGCAATTCCGCCCCAGTGATCGCAGGGGGATCGTTCCCAAGGTTTTGGTTTTCCCATCTGATTTCAGCCGAAGCGGTGAGCCCCCTGTGGTAGTTACCATCGTATGGCATCGCCGGGAGGATTGGGACCTCCAAAAAATGATGGAAATCCCCCGGCAGCATGGAACGGAGGCGAGGCCGGCTCCTGCCAGCCTTTTCCTCAGGTTTTTGCTCCGGGGCAGTAGCAGCGTCGTGTCTGGAGCACGCGAGTGGCGGCACGTTTCAGTGCTGGGATGCAGCCGGGCTGTTCACGGGGGTCCGGTGGTGTGTGGTGAGGCCGAGGGTTTCACCGTTGAGGATTTGGCTGAGAAGGAGCCGTCGCTCTTGAGGAGAAAAGCCATGAAAAATCGCCAACGGCCCTTGCCTTGCGCTCGCGCAAAGGTCGTGAGTCCCTGAGGAGGGGGAGCAGCTCCCGTGGATGCAAAGGGGATCCAAAAAGGGGCAGCCGCCTGCTTCTCCGCCACCTTTTCTCTCTGCCCTTTTCTTTCTTTCCTCTTCAGAATTGTAAATATTAATACAGTCTAGTTTGCTTGGATGCTGTGGATGGTTCATTACGGGGTGTGATGTGTCATGTGGCTCACCTCTGGGCTCTTGGTGGGGGGGGAAAGGGGGAGGCTCCGTGCCTCAGTTTCCCCACCTCTATATAACGAATCATACAATGGGCCAGGCCGGAAGGGACCTCCAAAGGCCATCTAGTCCCACCCCCCTGCAGTCAGCAGGGACACCCCCAACTAGACCAGGGTGCCCAGGGCCTCGTCGAGCCTCTCCTTGAATATCTCCAGGGAAGGGGCCTCAACCACCTCCCTGGGCAACCTGTCCCAGTGCTCCACCACCCTCCCAGTGAAGAACCCTCTCCTCATCTCCAGTCTAAATCTGTTCCCCTCCAGCTTGAAGCCATTTCCCCTCATCCTGTCACTGCAGGCCTTTCTAAACAGGCTCTCCCCAGCCTTCCTGTAGCCCCCTCAGGTACTGGAAGGCTGCTATTAGGTCTCCCCGGAGCCTCCTCTTCTCCAGGCTGAACAACCCCAGCTCCCTCAGCCTGTCCTTGGAGCAGAGGTGCTCCATCCCCCTGATCATCCTTGTGGCCCTCCTCTGGACCCTCTCCATCAGGTCCATGTCCTTCCTATATTGACCTTAGGAAGTGTGGGTTAGAGGAACGGACAGTTAAGTGGATTGAAAACTGGCTAACGGACAGAACCCAGAGGGTTGTGATTAGGGGCACGGAGTCCAGCTGGAAGTCTGTAACACGTGGTGTTCCCCAGGGCTCAGTACTGGGTCCAGTCCTCTTCAATATATTCATCAATGACCTGGATGAAGGGATGGAAAGTACCCTCAGCAAGTTTGCTGACAACACAAAACTGGGAGGGGTGGCTGACACCCCGGAAGGCTGTGCTGCCATCCAGTGAGACCTGGACAGACTGGAGAATTGGGACAAGAGAAACCTAATGAAATTTAACCAGAGCAAGCGTCGAGTGCTGCGCCTGGGGAGAAATAACCCCCTGCACCAGGAAAGGTTGGGGGTGACCTGCTGGAGAGCAGCTCTGAGGAGAAAGATCTGGGAGTTCTTGTGGACAAGAGGATGCCCAGGAGCCAGCAATGGGCCCTTGTGGCCAAGAAGGCCAATGGCATCCTGGGGGGCATCAGGAAGAGTGTGAGCAGCAGGTGGAGGGAGGTCATCCTGCCCCTCTGCTCTGCCCTGGGGAGGCCCCAGCTGGAGCACTGGGACCAGTTCTGGGCTCCCCAGTTCCAGAAGGACAGGGAACTGCTGGAGAGGGGACAGCAGAGGCTACAAAGATGATGAGGGGCCTGGAGCATCTCTCTTAGGAGGAGAGGCTGAGGGACTTGGGTCTTTTTAGTCTGGAGAAGAGAAGGCTGAGGGGGGATCTGATCAATGCCTATAAATACTTAAAGGGTGGGTGTGAGGAGGATGGGGCTGGTCTTTTTTCAGTGGTGCCCAGTGACAGGACAAGAGGAAATGGACACAAACTTGAGTATAAGAAGTTCTACCTAAACATGAGGAGGAACTTCTTTACTGTGAGAGTGGTAGAGCACTGGCAGAGGCTGCCCAGAGAGGTGGTGGAGTCTCCTTCTCTGGAGACATTCAAAAACCACCTGGACAATATCCTATGCAACCTGCTCTGGGTAGACCCACTCCAGTGGGGGGGTTGGACTCGATGATCTCCAGAGGTCACTTCCAACCCCATACGATTCTATGATTCTATGATTGAGGGCTCCAGACCTGCACACAGTGCTCCGGTTGAGGTCTCACCAGAGCAAAGTGGCAGAATCCCCTCTCTGTATCTGCCGGCAACGCTTCTTTCCGTGCAGCCCGGGTTGTGATTGGCATTTTGGGCTGCAAGTGCCCACTGCCCGCTCACATCCAGCTTCTCATCCCTCAGCACCCCCAGCTGACACACTAATGGAGCTTGGGGGGCATCCAGCACCCCTGGGGGACCAGATTTCCCCGTGATGGTGGAGCTGGGTGGGAGTGGGACCCCACAGTGCTGGTGAAACGGGGGTGGGGGGAGTTTGGGCCCGGGCCTAGGCCCCGGGTAGGTGTCCGGGTTGGAGGAGACTGCCAGGATGGGTATGACAGCAGCGCAGTGATGAAAGGACAAAGCAGGGAGAAATCATCAGGAAGAAGGAGGAAGGGTAATAGGACATCCAGAATCAAGCAGAGGGTTTCAGGCAATCACAGGGCCTGGAGCTGGTTACAGAAAGAGAGCAAAAGTAAGTTTAACCCTGCTTTGTATATAAGAATGGCTGGTTTAGAGCAAGAGAATAAATCATTAACGACAAAACAGGGAAAAACGACCCTCAAGCCATGACCAAGAGGGAGCAGTGCTATACTTGCAATAATTCAGGGTCTGATATTTTGTTTATTTCTTTATTTAGTGTAAGTTCTCAATCAAGCTCTCAGACACACAGAGCAAAGGTGAACCTTACCAACAACCCTTCCAAAGCACACAGGTCTCATTTGCTGGAGGGCTTCGAATGCAGTCCTGAAACAGCAATGAAGAGGGCAGAGAGCAACTCCCCAGCCTTGTCCTGCCTCAGCCACCTTAATTTTCAGGAGATATGGTCCAGTTCCTTTCCTCTGAAAGCCTAAAACCATAACACATCTCTGGGAATTCTCATATCAAAGCTAGAAACTACATCCAATACCAGGGTACCAGTTGACACTGCACAACTGCCATGAACCCAAGCAGGACACCAAATTTGGGGCCGGGCCCAAACTCCCCCCCACCCCCGGGTCTATTTTAAAGGTTTGGCATCTGGATGTGGTGGGAGGTGGGCTCGTTTCCCCCCCGACCCGGTGCCGTCCCTCGGCGCCGGTAGCCGTTGTTGGTGGGGGGGGGAGATGGGATGAGGCGGCCCCATGGCGGTGTAGGCCGCGCCGTTGCCTTGGCAACGACGGGGAGGGGGGCGGAGCTACGCGGCGCCACTTCCGGGAGACGCGAGGGCGGGGCCACGTAACGCAGCGCCGCCCCCGCCTCGGAGGACCCCGCCGGTTCCTTCGGTAGCGACGGGCGGGGGGGGTGAGGGGGGGGCCCGGGCCGGAGCATGTCCAGGTACGGGGAGAGGTGTGTGTGTGTGGGGTCATCTCGGCGTGGGGGAGGCACGAGT